CTGAAGTCAGTAATCAGCACTCAATCAGTAGAATGATCTACGACTGATTTAAACATTCGAAAAAGCAAAGACGAGTAGTCGACAAATGGTTGCGACGTTAATTTAGATTATTTTGAGAAACTATGAGGTAAACTCAACTTTTAACCTTGTAGATATAATATATGAAGTGAGTATTTACGAATAAGATTGTTGGTTGTTGATTGATAAGGTTCTTGATACTCTAAGTATCATTAATATTCTATCATTCCACTATCTGAGATTTTCGAACTGACGTGAAGTGGTTTAGAAGTCAAACTTCAATCGATTTGCAATATTGTACAATCTCTTTCAATGTTAGACCACCATTAGAAACCTCGAAGCACTGGACGGCCGTTTCTTCCTGGTATGGGACTCATCAGCAGTGAGCATCCACGACTCATGCACCCCGCAGGATTCGAACCCAGGACCAGGACGAAACGGCCGTCCAGTGCTTCCAGGTTTCTAATGGTGGTCTAACATTGATCGACTCATGGTTACAAATAAAACTTAACAATCTTCACAACAACCCCGCAATGCTCTTTCAATGTATTTGTTTGGTAATTACCTCACACTAAATTTGATTGCACTCTATTGGTTACAATATCTCTCTAAAACTCCTGGAATTCACACGTTCAGTCTTATACTAGGATGAAGCATTTGTTTGGTGCATTTTAGTTTTAAGTAGATATTTAAATGAGATTATTCAATGATTTAAACTGAAAAATTCAACAAACTGAATTGATCTAATAATGCAGGCGATTTTAGTGAACACGTAAAAATTTATCAGAGCTGTTTTCAGTTCGCATAAAACATAGTATATAATAGTAATAACAACACAAACTGGGCGATATGACATGATAAGTCATCGTTCATCAACCTCATGCAGTTAAACCACATTATTGAATTGTCCCTTGAATATATCAAACAGTCTAAACGTTATTAAGTCTTCGTAAAGACAAGTAAGATAATAATTAACCCTTCTTATGTGCAAATACTTCTAAAGTACTGTAAATTGTTACGATTAATAGAACCTGTTTGATAGTTTAGTACTGAGAGTTGATCATATATGTGCACATTGTTTATTTATATCATGTACATTCATATAATTCTATCTGTTCTCTATCATTCCTTTCACAGTTGAACGTAATCGTCAGCTTTGTTTAGGTGTGTAGAATTTTAAACAAACTGGTGAATTATTTACTAAACTACCAGCTAGCTAATAATATTAAAAGAGAGATGGAAAAAAGGAAATATGCTAAACAGTTCATAAGAATTTTTATTAGAATTACTCATGATAACAACCGATTAGTATGCATAGCATTGAATTAATTTTGTGTGTAGATATTGGAACAAGAAAAATAAAACAAAAACCTGTTTAATTCAAACAAATTTGTTTTCAGTTTCGTTTTCGTTAATACTTTTGTTTTAAATATCTGACGAAGGGGTTTTAAACGATGTCTGTCTTACTGATTGCATTATTCTTTTGTTCTTTGGGAGAAATGAAACTTCTTTGTTAAGATTTTAACATCGTAACAAATTTAAACTTTACTTGTGATTAAAAGCTCAAGTGAGTTGTGTAATTTCGTTAAGGTTGGGGTTTACTTTCGACTTTACTTACGCCTGTTACCCCCAATGAAGTATAGGCCGCCAGGGTTGGGGTTAGTTATCTTACTAAGAGTTTAGAAATTTGTTGTATAATTTGATTAGATAGTTTAGTGGTGACCTAGTCGAGATTGGCTTTGATCATCACTAAATACTAATTACTAGTCCATCGATGAAGTATAAGTGAATCTAGGGTAAAGAATATATTTGAAGGAG